GAGTGGACTTCAACTCCCAGAATTCCCCCAGCCAGCATTGAAGTCCACTCATCTTAAAGTGGCCAAGTTTGGACAACACTGGATTAGAGAAATGGGCTGAAAGTAGCAGAATGAAATTTAATAGAAACAAACGCAAAGGTCCTCACTTAGGAAACAGAAATCAAATAACAGCGATGAAGGATGAAGCAATTCTGTCTTGATCATGATGTTGGACTTTAAAATAGAATCTGTTGGGAAGGGGGTGCTTTAATGTCAGTGCCTTCACTGACGAAGGGGTTGGACTCCATAGCTGTCCAGCTTCATGAGTCTATGACCCTAATGTGATCCAATTTGCCCAAATATGTTCTACATAGGATACAGAAAGAGTTCTGATTCAAAGATAGAAGAACAATCATCCTTCCTTTTCTCTTTGCTAAAAATAGATTTTAGAGTTTGGGAATAATTTGATGGAATCAAGGTATGAAGCTTTGGTTGACAGAATGATTTCACCTTGCCTGAACTACAGCACATACTATGAGTTACCATGGAGATGCTACCAAAAATGGCTTTACTGTGATGAATCAGCCAAACCAGTGCTAAGCTGCAAAGTACTCATTGAAGGCTCTGGGGACTTACATTTTAGTGTCTACACCTCCTCTTCATCTCACAGCCAAAGAAGGATCATCCTGGGGAGACCTCCTTCCAAGGCTTTTCTGGGACAAACTGTAACAAGTTTTTCAGTTATTAAGCTTTGGTTCTAAAACGTAAGTTCAGGGCAGGGGGGCTTTGTACTTTGCAGGATAAAAAAAATCACTCTGCCTAGTAAAGTTGCCTCACCAGCCATGAGCGGAGACTGGTACGGCAGCATCTTGGCCTTTTGGATTGGTTGGTGCACAGCACCTCCTGTCCACACATGTTGACTTTGAAGTTGGAGTGTTAAAAACTACTCAGGAAAGATAACTAAAATACTGGGGATGATGTCTGTTTCTTCTGCTTAGGCCTAGTTTCCTGAGCTCCCCTCATTTGGTATGTGTCCTGGTACCTACAGATCTGTTGGACAGACTTCATCTCCCCCAACTGATGTGCTGGCTAGGAATTATGAGAACTTAGGTCCAACACCATTAGAAGCCCCTGGACTGGGACATGCTGCTCAGGAACTTTCAGTTTACAACAGCTATCACATAACATCTATGTCTCAGTCTCAGTTTCTTCATTTTTAAAATAGCAACCATGAAAGAAGGAGGAGGAAGAAAAGGATGGATGAAGAGAAAGAGGAGGTGGAGAAGCAGAAGGAGACTTGTTACCATTTTAGGCTGTAGACATGATTTCTTGCATTGATGCCTCTGGCTCACTGTATCCTTGACAATAACTTTTAGCTTGCTTCAGTTTAAGCCTGCAGTGATGTAGGCTTAATTGAATTAAAAATGACAGATTGGTTGCCAAATTAAAAGAAGTCAACCTTACTCAGTGAAACTACTCTTCAAACATGCACTTGGAAGTTCATCTTTCTACTGGTGCTTTGCAAGCATGTGCCTGGGTTGTGTGTCATCAGCTGATTCAAACTGGTGTACAATCTTCTAATCTTAGTAGGAGAGCTGTATTAGACTATATGGCAAAGAATCAAGAGTCTGATAGCACCTTTTCCCACTAACCATTAAAAAAAAAAAAAGCTGCAATTCATGAAAGTTCGTGCTTACGCTTGTTAGTCGGAAAAGTTGCTACTGGACTCCTGATTTCTAATCTTAGGAATTGCCCATACACTGCATCAGCTTTCCCCAGCCTGGTATCATCAAACTGTGTTGGCAATGCAGTGGGGTGAGAAGGTACCTGCAGCCCTGGGATTCCCCAAGGAGGGCCATGACTCTCCCAGGCCAAGCCCCCTTGGGCAAGGGAGACTGTCATGCCAACTGGTGTTCACCAGCACCAATTCTCCAAAGCACACTGAGGGTGGTTGAGTTTTCATTTGTGGGCAGTCTCCCCAGACTCTTCATGAAGCACTAAAAATAATTGAAACTCCATTTCTATTGTTTTCTATTTTCCCCATTTATATTAAAGTGTTTTTGGATACATATTATTTACCTGTAGTCTACCCCCACCCCACCCCAGGGAAATTGACAAATTTATGCCCATGGCCCACAGTCGCCAGAATCCCCAGCTTTTGACCCATGCTGGTTGGGAATCTATTTAATGCATTGATTTTCTGGCCTGATAAGCTGCTAATAGCATACATAATAAGCAAAGCAAGAGTTCCTCTTTTCTGAATGTTGGCTCCAACATATGTTTTGTAACTGTCCTGTTCCCCCTATTCAAGAGTCATGGCCTTTATCTGACCTAGCATCAATTCTGTTGCGTTAGGGAAGAGCAGGTTGTGAAAGTATGCATGAATGGTACATATTTTTACAAATGATTTCAAAAAAGGGGGAAAAAAACAGTAATGTTTTCAGAAGAAGGAGGAGGAGGAGGAGGAGGAGGAAATGAGACATTCAGAGCTTTTATACAAGCTTTTCAACTCCTGCACTAATTTGTGCTATTTTTATATATGCTAATGATGTGCTGGGATAATAAGGGTCTGTAGGAAAGTTTAAAATGCACATGTTCTTGTATAAGTTATCCAGCCTTTCCCCTTTATTATGCCATTTCTCTCTTTTATTGCTCTTGCCATAAGACTTTAGCTAAGTCATGTTAACTGGAGAATCCTGGCTAGCTAACGTGCTTAGGAACAATACACTGGTTTTCAGAAAGAAAAAAAAAGTATCAGTAGATTGAGTGAATCCCACGTACAGAAGAAAAGGTTGGAGCAAAACACTTTAAGGGGACTGAGGCATGCTCCTACTCAGTGGGCACAAAATGCTGACTCTGAATGGGGAAAACCCAGATCCTATACCAGAAGGAAGAGAAATGGAGTGGTGTATTGTGGAAGAGGCCACAGCTGCTTGCTTGCTGCTGAACCCTGAATAGAAAAACTCTAAGAAGACATACCATGACTAAGTTCACCTACTGTATTATGCTAAGTCATAGCTTGCTCAACCATGGTTTATTAAACAAGGTGCAATTGGCTGGGTTTGCACAATCCACTAAGTCAAAATTAAAAATCTCATGTTACAAAGCAATGTGATCACAGACTAAAATAATATTGTTGTAGATCCCACATACTTCAAAATAATAAGTATGACCAGCAGCAAAATGAACAGACTCAGTTACAGTGGCAATGAGTGCCCCATTGGGAGACTTGAAAGAAAAGGTTAGGGATAGATTGTCATAGAAAAAAATTACCTATGTGGTTGCTTGGAGTCAGAAATGACTTGATGGCACATAATCAATTTAAACAAATCTTTAATCAGTATTCCAATATTCCCTTCCTTGCTTTATATATACCCGCTCCTATTACGATGTGCTTTTTTTTTTTCTTGGATACTGAGAGGAAACCTTTGCATTTTCCAATGCAGTGGGAGGCAAGGCCCTGTTCCCTTCCTGTTTGTTCTCTGATCTTGTCATAGCAATCCCGCTCTTGCAGGGATTTTCCTGCGGAGAACTTTCTAGGTCTCAAGCACATCAAATGAAGAATAAGGCTGGGATCCAATGGTCAGGAGCAGACATGCCAAGTCCCTTTGTAAAGTTCTCAGGACCCTAGAGCAGATCAGGTGAACACCTTCAAGCCCTATCAGTCCAGGGACTCTATGGTGTTTAATGTCACTGGGGATCTTGTAGAGGACATGGGAGTGCCTGCTGTTATCTGTTTGGGGGTTTATCAGGGGAAAGGAGTAAAAGAAATCTCATTCTCAGAAGTATATACTCAAAGGATAATT